CAGTTAGAGTATGGTTTTAGGACAGAAATTCATAAATCTATTCTCTCTTTTTTTAAGACATAAAAGTAGAAAAGATTTGCATAATTTTATGCAATGTTTTAACCAAAAGGAAAGTGATTATGCTGTGATGATTATGAATCCATGTTTAAAACTAGGGGATCAAACGTATGTGATCTTTGTGTGTTTTTCCAACATACCCAAGATAATAACATTTAAAGATTACCTTAAAACAATGCATGTGATACTCATGCTATAATACAAACAAAACATGTTTATAATACATTTTATGTATAACAATATAATATTTTACAGGAGCTGTAACTTATAGAATTTGAAAATTAAACAATTTTTTGTGTTTTAATTAGTATCCATCCCCTGAATGGGACACAGTTACTCCTGAAGCCAAGAATCTCATTAATAGTATGTTAACTGTGAATCCTGCCAAGAGGATCACAGCTTCTGAAGCTCTGAAGCACCCCTGGATTTGTGTAAGTAGCAGTTATATGTTAAAAGAACCTTTTGTTTAACAGTTTCTTGTTGATTGTCATCTGCACGATGGATGAATTAGGTGCTACTATTCTTTAAATTTCAATTCTTATTTGTTTAACAATATCTATAATTATTGTTTTAGTTGAAAAACATTTTTGGCATCGAGTTTTATTTTTTCACATACAACTCTAAAAGCAAACTGATTGTAGCTGAGTACTTTTACATGCAATATATATATATATATATATATATATATATATATATATATATATACGTATATGGTTTATCTCAAAAAAGTTTTATTTGATATTTTACATAATGTACGTGTATGGCAATGCGGCCATAGTTTGACTTTTTTATCTCTGCTGTTACTTAGCAGAGGGAGCGAGTAGCCTCAACTCTTCATCGCCAGGAGACTGTAGAATGCTTGAAGAAATTCAATGCTAGGCGTAAACTCAAGGTAGGATAAGATTTTTGATTTATTATTTAAACTGTAAACACGTTAAACCACTTAAATATATCTCAGAAATTTAGTATGTTTTTGTTATTTTATCATTTAATGAATTAATTGTTTTTCGTAAATTAGTTTTTAAGTTTTTCAGAAAAAGAGATAGTTTTACATATTCAAAGTTCTAGTTTAATGAGCCATACCTAGTTCCGTATATATCAGGACAGTTATAAAAGTTGAACAAATTAAACTATCTATATTAGTAATACCTGTATAATTGTGTGTTTTTAACTTTTTGACAAGTTTCAGTGAGCCTTTCATTAATAAAAATAAATATTTGTTTTGTATTTACAGTAAATTGCATACTGTCTTTTCCTTACTAAATTTTATGCTAGTGTACATCTCATTTTATTTATTTCTAACAGTGTGTAGTTAAAAAGATTGTTTTAAAATTTGAATTAAATTTAAGAGTTTTTTGTAAATTTCTTTGCTATCTGTAACTTTAACAAAATCAACTTTTCTTTTTACTTATTATGTATGGTTAACTTACAAGATAAAACGATTTTTTTATAGTGAAAGTTTATCTATAAAACATGTAGATGTGAATTATTAAAGTATATCATAATAAATGTGATTTTTATGAATTCATTAAGTTTTCCTGAATAACGAGTAGTAAGAAAAAAAAACGTTTATTTGTCAAGCTTGAAGCATTTAAAACTGTATACATATATTTTGAGGACAACACGGAACTTGTTGATTCATTTAGGTCATCCCATCCACTAAACTAAACTTTAAAATAAAAAATAAAACACTCAATGCCAGCCCTTATCATTCAAATATTTATGAAGCCTTCCCTTAAATTAACTAGATCCACCATGTCTGAAAACAACCCATTCCAAAGGCCAACTACCCTGTTAGAAAAATAAGCTGTCTTATTTGAAGATAATTCCTACCTAGCCAAAATTTAAATCTTTTTCTCCTATTTCTACCATTCTCATCATTAAGTATGAAAAAGATTATGCATCAGTACTCTCAGTTCCCATAACAGTCTTAAACACCTCAATCAGACCCTTCTACTTCTTCTTTTTTCAAAACTATATAGGATTTCAAACTCATTGGAAAAAGTAGCCAGAGTGTATAAATAACTGATTAGTAAATAACAAAATAAAAGCTTTTTTCTGAGTATACTAAACTGCTCATTATAAAGTTGAGAAAAATGTGAAAGTGTAAGTGGACTATAGCTTAGTTTTGGATACATGCAGTTAACAGAACAATGAAGCTGGACAGACGTTCTCTAAGTATACTAAATACTTCCTTAGAAAATAAGGAGAAATATAAAGTTCAAAATTAAATACACTTAAACTGTTAAAAAACTTTCTAAGGAGTATGCTATTAACAAGCAATATCTTATGAGAGTGTTATGAGTTTTTAATAATTTTTCTTCACTTAATTATAATAGTTCCTATTGCTACCAAACTTCAAATCATAGTTACATAGGAATTAAAAATAATTAGCTACAATATCAATATTTTATATGGGTCAGATTTGTATTAGATCTGTATCAGAATTGTATTTAACTGTAATTAATTATCATGTGCATGGCTTCAGCAATTATTTTTTCTGTAAGATATAAACTCTGCACAAAAATCATCTCACCATAACAAAACATAAGTAAACAAAGGATAATTTAAAACTTTTTGCTTCTTTCTTTGTGAACTAAAGTTGAATGTACTTCATTCACCTTTCCTCCAGTACTTTTTTTATAAGCTCTATGAGTTTTTTCAGTTATGCTTTTGTAATAAATATTTATTATTAATTTATGTTTAAACAAACACAAAATTATTTAAAAATGAAATATTTTAAAGAGTACATGTAACAAGAAATTACTTGTTTGTCTACATCTCTCCTCCGTTACAAACAAGTGACTAAAACCATGAGAATAAGTGAAAAATTGACACAAGTATTTATTATTTATCATGGTGAAATTGTTTACTAAAGTTTGGGATCATGATCAAATTGCAATATATCCTTTCAAACATCAAGATGTAGAGAGTTTTAACTGTTGGTCACAGTAAATTTGGCCTCCATTTTATTAAAATTTCTATTTTTGGCATCACAGTCAAGCTCCAGTATATTATAGATTTAAACATAGCACTACTAAATATCAACAACTTTAAAAGCAGGCCCTAACAATAAGCTCTAACTTGAAAGAGTTAGAAATTATTCCTTTTCTTCACTGAAGAGAAAACTAGCGAACTTACTGTATTCAGAAATTTCAATGTCAGAAAAAAATATCTTGGTACCAGCAAGCTTTCTATTATATCAATCCCTAGGAATACACATCCATCTTGAATGTAATGGGTTGATTCAAATGTAATGAATTCAATAAAGTTCACTTTAACTCAAAGATGTGGATATCTCTATCATTTATTAATGTGCCCCCTTAACCAATCAAGCTAAGGAGCAAAATCGCAACCTATCACATGATTCAGGATCAACCAGTAACTTTAGTCTATAATTGGCATTTCTAACATACAGAACAGCATACTAACACAATACTGTACAGAGCACTTGTAACTATTCTAAGATTTGACCATACTGTGTTCACATGGCAAAACAAAAGTGTTTAATAAAACTCATAACTCTGTAACAGATCAATGGTTAATTTCTTAAAATACATATAACAACATGCCAACTACCACTTGAAAGTAATAGTACCAACATTAGGTGAAAAATATTTTATCTAAAATAAATGCATTGACTATTACTTTAAAGGTAACATATAACTCTTAAAACGTTAAACTTTAAGTAGTCACTACAGAACCACCAGTCAATTAGCTATATACATACATTCTATTTAATCAATTAAGGGAACTGTGGTTATATTATAACTAACATAAGTTTCTATACCATACAGACATGAAAACTCTTAGCTCAAACAATAATTATCAAATCTGTCATTTACTTCAACAATCAGATCTCATTATGCCTCATTACATTTAATGACCATATATCTAACTGTAAATATAAAGGCTATTTCAAAGAGTAATTAATGATAGTATTAATGCCTTTACAAATATTTCATCAACACTTTTTCTATAAAGTTTACTTTAAAACACCCATCTCATTTAGATGTCACTACATTACACTGGAATACTATCACAACAAATCCTTACAGTTAGTTGTAAACCTACAAGCATACATATTTAATTAATCTTTTAAATTCTACCTGTATTACACCAGAGTGCAGTGTACTACGTACTCCTTAACACTGCATCTTCAACTTAATGGGCAAGTGCTTCTCCATGCATTGTGAAACAATCCACCATTCATTCTTATTGTTGGGAATTAGTTTGAAAAGCTTGATAGTAACTTAGTCACTTTCTTATCCAGCACAACCACAGTATTTCAATCAAATTGAGTTTCTTTGGGATAAACTTGAAAGTCATATTCATTACCATAATTCGTTACTAACACCTGTAATCCAGTTATAGACCATACTCCTTAACAAATGAGCTAAAATTAAACAAGACACCTTCTGACATTTTGTGTTAACCAAGTCCAGGCAGTTAGAGGAAAAAGTGGCTTAACTCCTGTATTGCTTTAAGCTGAGTAAAACACATTTTCTTTCTACAAGATGTATGTATAATTTTAGTTACCACACTTCAACTGAAATACTTTCTAAACATTTATTTAAAAAAAAGGATAATATTTGATCATAAATGCTCAAAGGGTGTAAATGTTTTAGTTTTGATTTTCTACAACTTACAGGGAGCCATCCTGACTACAATGTTGGCAACTCGTAACTTTTCTAGTGAGTATCTATCTCAAATTAATTTTGTAAGTGATTTAACTTTTTTTTAGGTAGTCAGATTGTATATGACTATATATAATATTTTTTCTCCTTTTATGTATTAACAAAATATAAGCTTGTAATCTAGGAACTTAAATATAATAAAATTAAAAAAGTGATTTTAATTTATGGAGTTGCCTTACTCTAGGTAATCCAAATGTTTTTCATTTGAAGTAGGTTCTTCGGTCATCTTTTCAAATTATATATATGATTGTGGATTATAATCAATCTTGATTATTGAATACATCCTATAAGTGTGTTTGTTTTACATTATCATACTAGGTCGTAGCATTATAAACAAAAAAAGTGAAGGATCTCAAGTAAAAGAATCAACTGATAGCAGCACAACTCTGGAAGAGGAAGATGTGAAAGGTAATTTTTATTCATAGTATCTTTTGGTTTTATTAGGACTTGTTTTAATTAGACTTCTGTGCTAGTAGGTCTAATATTGATTTTTTCATATTTTAATTAAATCTTCCCAGAATTACATTTTTTGTCAATATCAAACTTTATTCATTAAGTACTTACTTACTATGCCTATAACTACAGTGTTCTCAAGTATAGTCCAAAAATCATATTTATTTCTACTATAAATACAGACCTTTATATATATGTGTGTGGGTGTGGGTGTGATTCATGTAAATGTAAAATGAAACTTAATTTTAATACAAATCCGAAGAAAATAATTTCATGATAAACTATGGTATGCTAAGATGTAAAAATTATTACACTGTAGATTGTGAATTTTACAGTTTTTTAGCTTAGTTTTGTTTAGTTTAAAGTCCACTAAGTCCTTTCATAAAAGTACAAGGTCTGCATTTATTTGCCAACCATGAAGTTTTAATGTATCATACTTTACCCTATCAAGAGATACCCGTATCGCATGTTATACATACACCACAAAATAACAGTTTCTTGTGCTTTGCTTTACACATCATACTGTTCACAATTTTCTATTTACCAGGATCTTTGATTTTTTAATGCTGAAGAAATATATATATATATATGTCATATACACCATGGTAGTAAAGCAGATGAAAAAGTTTGTCTTTATTTCATGGTTTACATAATATTCATGTATTAATCTTCTTTTAACAGCATTTTTCATTATTAATCTTAACCTTGACCTATATTAAATTCTTTACAGCAGTCCTTTTTTTATTGTGCTATTTATTAATATATATATCTTTGTGTATCATAACAGTTTTGGTGTCATATGTATGACCACTTTTGACACTCTTCATATGTTCATGTTCAATATTAAAGTCTCTAAATATCTATTCATCATAAATTGAGATTTTTAATTTTTGTATCATTCTGTACATTCTTTCTTCTGTATACCTTTATCTCTATTTATTTATTTGTTTTGCTTTGATATCCAACTGTACAAAAAATCTTCTGTACCTTTATTGCAAAAAAAATAATTAATATTGCAGTTTATAGAGGGTACAATTAGATTGGTTTCAACTGTAACTCTAAACTGCATATCAACATTGTAGTAGTTATTGCAAGTTTAACATTGATATATTTCATTCTTACTGTAGTTTTATTACATATTTACTGTAAATTAATTTATACCTGATTTTTTTACAATATTTTGTAGTGTTACTTGTTCTTACTGTAAAATTATGTCATCATTAGCCTTCTAACTACAAGTTTATTTTACTTATAATTATGATTGCTAGAATACTCTTATTTATAATCACAATGCATGGTACAAGTTTGTTTACTGATGTTTATAACACTAATAAAGAAACTGCAGTTCTACTGTAGCAAAAGAAAATATGTGATGAACAACTATAAACATATTACAGTTTCTTCATTGTCCCCAGGTGAGACAGCAATATTTTTATAGACTGACAGTGCTAAAATCTGGGGTTCAACTTTCCCCATGGTGGACACAGCAGATAGCCCAGTGTGACTTTGCTTTATAGCAAAACAAGAAAGCAAACATAATCCACAGATTTAACCATGCAGTGCTTTTTAATACTGTAGCTTTTGTGTAATTAGGATTACAGAAGTTCAGTAGTGACAAGCACATTTCATATTTTTTGCGTGACAAAGTTTTAGTGAGTTAAATTCTCAAAAATACTTTTTTTTTTAAATATGGGAAAAATATTTTGCACCTTTTTATGTAAATATGTGCAGCTAAACTACCTTTAAACCATACACAAGCCCATTACTTAAGTAATATATACACCTGGAAAAAAGTTAAGCACCCCCGTGTTTTTTCAAGTGATTCAGATTCGAT